TCATCATGATTACAATTTTTCAATTATAATAATATTAATTAATTAATTAAATTACTTGCATTGTTTAGGATCCAATAAAAGAAAGCCTAAAGATAAATCTCCAAGCAAAAAATCCAAAAAATCACCAGCAAAGAAAGAAAATAAAAATACCAGATTAAAAAGAAATTGTAATAAAAACATTTGAATTAAAAAAATAATTTTTATACATTAAGTACATTTACTCCTTACATCAAGTACATTTACTCCTTGCATTAAATACATTTACTTCTTACATTGAGTATGTTTACTCCATACATTGAGTATGTTTCTTTCTTACATTGAGTATGTTTACTCCATACATCAAGTATGTTTACTATGTACATTGAGTATGTTTCTTTCTTGCATTGAGTACATTTACTTCTTACATTGAGTACATTAATTCTTACATTGGGTACATTAATTCTTACATTGAGTATGTTTCTTTCTTACATTGAGTATGTTTACTCCGTACATTGAGTATGCTTCTTTATTACATTGAGTACGTTTGTTTCATACATTGAGTACGTTTTTTAGTACAATCTCATTATTTATAAAATTTATAGGTTTTTTCCCATGTACGTAAAAATGCATTTTTCCTTACATCACATACACATTTCCGGAAAATTTTACGTACATTATTAAAGGATTATTCCTTACAAATAAATATTACAAAATGTAAGGAACTTCCGTACATAAATTTTCTATAGGGCAGACGGAAGGGTTAAAATTAGAAAGAATGGGGAAGAACAAATTTTAGAAGAAACATCACCCAAACCACCCACTGAAGTTGATGAATATTTAGATGAGTTCAGAATAATAAAAACTGATGAAAAAGTACTACCCAGAATAGATGGAGATGAAGATAATCAATTAACAACTATATTGGGTAAATTAAAAGTTATAAGGAATAGTAATGCTTTTGAGTATTATTATCTTTTGGGGAAACTCATTGAAGAATATCCTGCGACTATGAAGAAGAAAATTCATCAAAGATGTCAGCACAACTACAATAGAAGTGGAAAAATCGTCAGAATGGCAAAGAGGACTGTAATGTTGTTCAATACAATTGGATTATCTTATTTACCCCCACAAAGATTACGTCTCAGTACCCTTCGGGAAATGACGGACGGAAATTTTGAGAAATTGATGATAGGAATAAGGGCAATTGTGGCTGAACGGTTACAAGCCTCATTGCTCTGGAATGATATATTGGACAACTTGACTTTTCCTGTTTCGCAGGAGCTCAATGCTGGCGCGGAGGTGATGTCACCGGAATGCGAATTGGACCTTAATTCGCTGATCAATAACCCTGAAAATCCGGAGTGATATTTTATATTTTATTCTTATTTTATTTGTATCATTTATTTATTTATTTATTATTTTTAGTTATTCATTATTTATTTTTGGTTATTTATTTTATCTGTT